GACGGACTCGACGTTTCTGACGTCGTACAGTTACCGCCAAGAATCCGGAGCCTGGTGAATTTCCCGGCTCGAGAGCAAGGAATTCGAAGGGCTGAGAAACGACGACGACGACGCCGACCACCACCACGCGATCCTACGATATCGAGAATTTTATTTGCCCAAGGAAAGAGATTCCAAGGGGTGGGAAGCGAGGTACGACGCGGTGAAAACCTGCAATTGGATTTGTTTTTGACTAACGACGCGTGACGCTCTGTTTGCGGTAAAAAGGTCGTTTTTAGTATATTTGAGTTATTATTGTTGGATCGAAGGGCTGAGTAATTTTTATTGGGTTGGTTCGGTTTCATGGTACATATTTTTGCTTTAAATTATTTTCCGAGGCTTATTATTTGAAATTGAATATTTGTATAAGACGAAATTTTGAATCATAATGAGAAAGTACTTGTGTTACACACATTCATGTAAAATAGTGTATACCAACTGGGTAAAATATTATACGTGAATATTGTCAACCCGATAATCTTGGATACTCTATTATAATTTACACATCTAATATTATTTCTTCAACTTAACCTTTCGTATTGAACATCCACACATGACGATTCTACATTAATAGGTCACGACATCGACTTCCAAATATTCCCACGTGAGACTGATAAGACTACCTAGTACAACAAACACCTGTATATTTAAATATACCAAATAAACCAATACTGTGTATTTAAATATACTATATATAAACAACTATAATTAAGCATCGAGACTATATACGTACATACGTATATGTATATTCTTAAACGTTCCGTAATCAAAATAACCACTATTTCTCTACAAATATCCTATACGATTTTTTCAATTTTGAAACTGCTGTCTCTAATTTTTCTGTATATAACAATATTTTGTCAGTTATTTTTTCAATTGCATTCAAAAAGCTCGTAGCTCAACGATCGTAAGAAAGTTTCGAGGTACGCAGGCATGTAAAGTCGCGATAAAATCTTCTCCTGCCATCCTCTCTCTAAAGCGCACATGCCCACATCTATTTTACCCGAGTTGGCCAACCTGCCCCATCCCCAGGACCAATCGAAGTCTGCCGCTTTATCGGGAAAACCGAGGGTGTTCTTCGGGCAGACGGAACTGCCCCTGCGTTCCGGTGGCTTTATCGCTGAAAATAGGGGTGGTTTTTGAAGGGGGTGGCCGTCGATTTTGCGCGGACTGTACCCTCCACAGAGCATACAGAGCGGCCTCCATACAGAAGAAAAGGCCTCCAGCTATGGCCTTCCATCTTATCCCTCTTTCAACCCCCTTCTTCTGCCTTCAACCACCCTCTCCTCGTGTCTACATCGTTCCCATGCTTCGACGATGTTCGTCCGTCTATCTTCGCGTGTTTGCGCGTGCACGCCACGCGATACGGATAATGGAATGTATCGATGATGCAAGTTGTGCATTCTATGGTGGAAAGAGGCGAAGTTTCGACGAGGTTGGCTGGAAGGGGAGGTTTACGGAAAATGGGGTGAAACGATTTATAGGCGCGTTAGTTTGATATTTGGATTCCCTTTGATGTAAGTTTGTAGTTCGTTTGATTGTAGGAATGAAATTGGATGGTTAGAATATGGAAGATTGGGGAAAAGCGAATTGCAGATATTTGGGGCTGAAGAAATTTGTGTCATGACTTGTGATTATGTAATCATAGATTATGGGTTTATGTTTGGGATAAATAAAACATTGATGTTGTAATAAAAATAAAAATTTCGTTAAAAGTTATGTATTATGAAGAAATGTAATACAGAATTGCTATGCAAGCATTAATGATAAAATTCAGTTTAATGGTTGGGGTTAGGTAAAGATAAATCTGGCTAAATCATACGAATTTAACTCTGCCAATTAATAACCAAACTCATTATAAAATATTATAGTAAATAGTTGACGAGTTCTTGGTGCAGAATAGCAAGAGAAATTTCATCTCCCACACCGATGATCAAAGGCATATTTCCAACGATATACTGCAGAATATACTGTAGAATTTCATTTTGAAACATGGTACACTCTCCACGAAGAACTTCAAATTGTAATAAAACAGAATTACGCATTTTCAGCTTCTACTAAACAATTCTAATCGACAATAATGCGTTCTAGAACAATCAGTACTCCTAAATCTCTCTCTCCTCTAAACCATAAAAATTACGATTCCTCCCTTACCCTCTACCTCGTTAAACAAAATTCCATCGTTCAACCGTCACACGTAGCGCGATAAGCCTATTCGTAATTCAGCATCGACACCATCGCATTATTCTCAGCGCGGTGACACCTTTTCTCCATCCTGGGCGCTATAGCCGTGAAGGGTGGCGATAGACAGAGAGAAAACTATCCCCGGCGCATCGGATTTAACGTTGAACGCGGCTCTAATGAGGTGCGCCGCGTTCACGATCCTTTTCTCCCCAAGTTGTTCGTCGTTCCTTTCGCCAGGTAGGCACAGCGGATTTTTAATGGGGCACCGCGGCGTGCTCTCCTTTTTTTCTCCCTCTCCCTCTCCTCGTCCGTGTTCCAGTGGCGTTCGACAGCAACCCCTTCGACCGATGGTTACCTGAGAATCCGTGGTGCAGGCAGATACATAGGTAACGGCCCCCGGGGGTAAAAAGCAACGAGAGGAAAACTGTCCGCGTAGCGAGATTGAAATTCAAATGAGACCGCGAGGATATTCTAATTCCGTGCGGCAACCCCTTTTTTGCATATCGGGACCCACGCAGCTGCCATCCCGGGGACCCAAATTATATACATCTTTTTTCCTCCTTTCTCTTTCCCTTTTTAGGTTCCCTCCCGAAAGAACGTTTCTCTTATATTTTCTTTCCTTTTTTTTTTATTTTCGTTTCGGTATACTCACCTTTGTCGCTCATGTTGCACGCGGCGGTGTTCAGAGCGTTTTTCCCGCTTGCGCCGCCGCGCGTGATCCGCAACAATTGAGAATCGACAGTATTCAAATCCGAAGGCGACGGTAGCTAGCTACCTAAGCCCCCAGGCTTACCGGCTGCCTTCCGCGGATCCGATCGATTTTATGTTGCGGAAAGACGGAACGGGAAAAGAGGGAACACGCCTGGTCCGATACTTGCCGATTATCGCCAGGATATACACCCACGTTCAGAAGTAACAGGACACTTATGAAAATTTAAGTAAGCCTGAAAGACTGGGAAATTAGCGAAACGCTTAAGAATGATTATTTCGTCTGGAACTTTAGGCTATAAATCATAAGTTCAATATCATAATAATAATTCTCTTCTTCTCTATCTATGTACATCGGTTACGTGTTTCGTGGTTGCCATTTTCATCAATTCCAATACATGTCTACATTATAACCATATTTCTTGCTATTTGGTTTCTCTTCGTACACGCTACAGATGATTTTACAATATACATTCGGATCTTGAATAGACTTCTTGGAGTATGCTATAAAACTTAGGTTTAGATTAGAAAACTTTATTTTTCAAAATGGATCTTTAAATTTCCGTTCGATTGAAACGCGAATCTGATATTTGCTTCGTGAAAATCCGTAAAATTTCTAGTTCATCGTTCGCAGCGTTTAATACTTCCATGAAAACGTGTCAAATACGACGCAAATACATACATCGATCACAAAATTTATCAGAATAAATCAGTTTCGAATAAAAGAATATGAAAATTTTCATAATTCGTAATTTCACAATTTTGTTTAAATTTTTCACGTACTAAAAATAAAGCGACGTGAATGTTGATCGAAGATCCACGTTTGGTTGCCTTGAAAAGTCGCTCGTTACAGCTAAATGAAATGATGGCGTGGCAACACATTGTTCAGTGGCTCGTTGCAACTCAAGCGGACGAGAAGATTTATACCGCTGAAGAAAATTTGCCCCGATAAAGTGTTTCCGTGTGCTGTGCTCATGGCGAACGCTTATCGTCTCGTTATTCCGGATTTTGCAGCGAAAGTTAGGCAAGTGAAAGGGAACCGTTTTCATTCATAAATATAACGTTCTTTGACAGATTGATCGTATCTACTTCTCTCGATTCTTATCGATTAATAATTCTCTTCCATTATTTGATCTTGTATTTGAAAATTATCCTGTATTTATATTGGAGAAAAACTTAAATAGCTCAAGTAGTCGTATTTAATTCAAAGTGTTAAATGCACAGTTTGAGAAAGATATTATTCACTGGGTTATTAATTGGAAAATGTCGAAAGAAAATTTAATAATTTTTTGATAAAGCATATAGAGTAAACGATTCTTCAATGTTTGAATAAATCAACGTCTCATGTGGATACAGAGTAAAATATATTATCTGAACTTGATATATGCCGTCAATATTCTCAATTATTCACTAAAGTATCAATAAAATATTCATGTACGTTGTTGAACAGGTTTTCAACTGCATAGTAAATTGATAATAATTAAATAAATTATCTATTTTTGTGAAATTATCATAACACGCTCCAAGATGTTATGTCTGCATAGTAAATGTTAATAAACACAATAGAACTATGTACGACGCATTTTACAGTGTAAAATACCTGAGGTATGATATGATAATATGCATGTAATACGTAAACACCACATGATAAAAAATTCTATTTTATATACACAAAACGCACAAGTAAAATAAATAATACATTTTTATTTCACACTTATATTATAAACATTATATTACTTATACGGTCTAATATTTACCTCACAATTTTATGTAGACCCATCCCAATTATCTACTGCTTAATATTCAATGTTTATCCACTGTTAAAGTAAATGAAAGAACAAAAATAAACCGCCTTCCTTTCACCTTCATATTATAAACGCTGTACTTCTTACATAACTTTCTCAAAAAAAAAAGAGAACAGAAAGATACAAGAAGATAAATCAAAAAAATTACGAAAAGAGACGTGCAAACACGATGGTACATAATCGCGGCGAGTATCCCGCTGCAACGAGCATTTTCAATTTTCATAAACGGCCGGAATAATCCCGATAAAAATCCTGTGCAGGTGAAATTCCACGGGACGGTTCGGTGAAAGTCAGTGTGACTTGATGGGCCGCCTACGTGTCCGGGGAGAGAAAAGAACCTTAGATCCAGGACTCAGCGGTAGGAGGCCAGGAGAACGAAGAAAAAGAGAGAAGAAGGAAAGTGCAAACGGCCTAAGGGGGCCGCCGCTTTGCATAATCAAATCCTGCGATGATGTAGCAGAATGCGAAGTACCCCGTCGTCACTGGTGCGCCGAAAAAGGGGCTGAGAATCCCGCGGGCACGCGAGTACTTCGAAAAATGCAGCCTCGTGTTCCCTTCGCAGCCTTCGTTGCCTTTCGGTTCGGTCATAAGGCCGTAGGCACCCCTTACCAGACATCCAGCCCTTGCAGAATTCCCGGAGTAACCCGGAAACATCTACTCGTTTTGCGACAGAGACACCACGAATTCTTGTTCCGCAGGGCTGACGTGGAAAGAATGGTGAGTCTTCGTTGGTGGCTGATCGAACGCGAAAAGTCGACTGGTAGATTTTTTTTCGAGCGCCTTTTTGGAACATTGTTCATTATATATATGCAGGTAATTAAGTTTCGATGATCTTTTATTGCAAATGGCTATTTTTGGGTAATTGTTTGTTGCAAATGATCGAATCTTGGGGGTTTGATATCTCTAGTGTATCATTAGGGTTCATAAGCACGTAAATACTTGGTTTAATTTGGGGTGGTATTTGATTTGGTTATAGAATTATCGACAGGAAGATTCAGAATGATCTTATATTTTATTAGAACTTGAGAATATCAGGGAATTGTAAGGATATTGTGGTAGAATTTATTTTTGTATTTTTAAAAGTTAGTATGCAATAAGAGAATTGGTGTCTATGAATTAATTTTGCTATTTAACGAGTACATATTTAATTGCACGTACGATACAATAAAATATATACTATATAAAATATAATAAAAATTCCTACAATCTTTAGAGAGAAATTTTTGGAGAGTTTAAAGGCTTGATTTTGTTACAGAAACTGATGGTGGAGGAAGCATGGCGAAGTTGAGGAACTAAGTCTGGGTTTAACGAAGAGTGATGTTAGGTGTCTTGTAAGTTGTGCGATGGGGTATGTCGGTGAATTTTATGCTTTATATTTCCTTTGAAATTGGTGTACCATGCAAAATAGTTGTAGCTACCAAATTTTGAATTTGAAACATACTGTTGAAATATATTGCCATTTTGAAATAATTACGTATTTTATAGTATCCAAAAATTTGAAACGGAAGCTTTAACTTAGAATTGTGTAATTTTAGTACTCAGATCTTCATTTCTGAAAAAGTAATGTTCAATTTGAGGAAAATTAATTTAAGGAAGAATTTTATATTTCATAAAAGCGAATCACAATATGCATATATAAAAATATACAATCTAAAATCTTAATTGACACCGTATCTTAGTCGTTAACCTATCCATCCTCAATAAGAAAAAAAAGATCAACCTGCTCCTGAGAAAGTAAAAACTTCTAAAGGCCAGCAGGCACGTCCGCCGGCATTTGGAAAAGCTTCGGTGTATCAAGACGGAAAAAAACCCCGTGGAATTCCGCAAGAGGCGCGAGGAAATAGGGTGGCTGGCTCGCAGAGTTGGCACGTACCCCCTCGTCAAAATGGACGGGCTAAGCCCGTATAAGTCTAACGGGATTTTCGATCGTGGGCGGGCAGGGTGAGTGCAGGCCGCGGTTCGGTGGTGGCTGTATGTAGGGGAGGAAGGTGTGCGGGGGTTGAACGCGATGGTAAGGGCACTGTGGAAGGGGGTGGCTGGGAGTCCTTCAAGATGGCGGCTATAAGGGATGGTTTAGGGCACGTGAGGGTTGCGGGTGAGGCAATATATCAGAGCTAGAGGGAGCGAGAGGAAGAGAGATCCTTGTGGAGGGTTGCTTCACCCCCGATGATGGCCGTTACCACCCGCTTCGCTGGTCCTTTCCTCTTCTCTCTCTTCTTCATCTTCCGACCCGTCTTATCCTTCCTTTTTCCTTTCTCTTTCCTCGTTTCACGTCCGCGTATCGCCTTTTCTGCCTTTGCTCGCCCTCGATCAAGACCACCCCCTCCTCCTCTTCTCTTAACTCGTCCCGGTGGAGCCCTCGGGTCCGTTCACGAAAGTATAAACGTCAGAGGAGAGTGATGGAAATGGACGAGACGAGGGGGAAGAACGGACGATCGGGAAATAGTGGAAAATCGAATGGTTGAAGGGTGGAAAGTACGAGAAGGCGGGGATGAGGGACGACGACAATTCGTTGCTTCCAGGGATTGAAGGCTTTTCGTTCAGCCGGTCTTTCTCTCTTTACCTTTGCCGCGCTGATATCAGGGGCCGATGGAAATATGCCAGCCGGAAGTCGTCGAAACCGGTAGCCGCCGATGCTTGTTGATGGATTCGTGTAAACGTTCCGAAAGGGCTCTCCTCTATCTCCTCGATGAAGGGAAATGCGATCGACGATGCGTTTTGTTTCGGAGGTTCGTGGAAATGGCGGTAGTAGGGAATGATGGAATATGGTTGAAAGGAGCTTTATGATTGCTTTAGGAGGAATTAGTTACGTGAACTAGGAAATTGACAATTAACCCTTTTATATATAACATGCAAATGTATGGATGGTTATTGCTAGATTAGGGATACTCATGGAATTTCATATTTTTATGAATGTAATTAAAGAAACCTATATAGATATTTGTTTCATGCAATATGTATTATAATATATATTTTACTTTAGATATTGTTGAATTATTAAACGAGTAATCTAAATATTTCCAGAGAACGCAAATTTCTTAAATATAATTTCTTAAATGTAAAAATCTTACAAATAACGTGGAAAACAGAAATTTCTTATTGAATCTGAAACAGATCTGTTAGGTTATAACATATAAAATGCCCAATTCTTCATATTTCACTAGATCCTAAAAGGACTGAAGATATTTATCATTTATAAATATGTGAAAAAGGGAAATCTCATGATACACTGATACATTGACGAAGATAAAACTATTTATTAAAAAAAGAGACTTTAAAAATTGATATAACAAAACCTTCGACTTAGCGTATCCATCCCCCTGAATCATTAAAAATATGGCTACCATCAAATTCGTATAGATGCACAATAAGGACACGATGCTGCAAACGTTAATCAAAGTGACATATCGAAACCCAAACATTCGGTGTAACCGCGCGATTTCCAGCGGGCAGAATAATCGTCACGTACAAGTACGTCGTAAATCCAGGCGTACCAAAAGCGGGCTAAGTGTCGCGGTCGGTTAAAAGGCATTATGATAAATTCACGAGGAATTTATCGCGCGGTCGGTATCACGAAGGACCAACCTCGAAAACGATAAAGATGAAGGCAAAGAAAGCAGAGGGAGGAGAAATAGGCTAGAGGAACAAGTTAAAACGAAGATAGGGAAAGAAACGAACACGCTTATAAAGATTTCAGCTCGCATCCAGTCGCCCCTCGCGACGTATCCAGCAAAGAGGAGCGGTAATGAGCTTCAAATTCCTTCCCCTTGGCGTGTACTTTAACCGCGTTTCGCTGCGTTTTTCCGCGGCACGGAGCAGAGAGGTGGAATTCCTAAAAGAAATCAAATCCAGAAAGTAAATGAAAAAAGTAGAAGACAAGATGAAAATAAAGTAAAAGAGAATCAAGAGAATAGCGGTCTGGAAGGGCGTGACAATGGCCGACTCGTTAATCGACGTCGGGATGGAAAACGGGCCGAGGAAATCGCGTATCTCAAAGCGGTGCGAGAACGCGGCAAGAAATTTCCCCGATAAAGGGGAAGAAAAACGAGCGGGGACGAAATCTCGTGGAACGGAATCGCCGGCTTTTTCACCTGCCGATCGTTCCACCCACCTTCCACTGAGGTCCTCGAGAAGCTCGTTTTCATCCCTTCCCTTATAGCTCGAGTGTTTTCGACCACGCCAAATCTCCGGGAAATTCTAAGTGAACGAAGAAGAAAAAAGAAAAAGAGGAGAAAACGTAGAGTGTAGAGAAAGAACCGTAGCAAGAGAAGAATCGTAATCGGTGATCTCTGGTGATCCAGAGAAAGAGAGAGAGAGAGGAAGCATGAGAAATTATCGAAGAGGAACGAAGAGGAGGGAAGTCTTCGAAGCATAAAAGAAACGGGAGGACCTCGTTTTTATTTCTTCGTCGTATTCCGAATAAACGGGACGGAGAACGGTATAAGTAGACGAATGATCGAGAAAGATGAAAGAAGGAAGAGAGTCAGAGAGAAACAGAAATGGTTGGAAAAAGATGGGAAAAGGGAACGGGACGAATGAAAAGCTTCAAGCTTGCGGTAAACATCGAGCGTGTAATTCGCTCTTTAAAGAACACTTGGACGATAATTAAGCCGGCATGGGGGCACGCTGCAGCCTGGTGATAAGGGGCGAAAGAAACGCTGGTGCAACGAGGATGGAAACTCAGATCGAAAGAAGACAGAGGAAGGGTGCAGCGGAGGGTGCAGAGGAGAAGTGAAGAGAGGGCGAAACGACGGGTTCCAGGCACCGTTGAAAAGATCTTTTTCCGTTTATTTTTCGTGACCATGGCTCGGAAAGACACGTGGTCTGATTTTAATTAGCACCGGGCTGCACTCACGGCACAGCGCGCGCGCACCCACGGATGTAGAAAGAAAGAGAGAGAGGAAGAGAGGGAGAGAGAATCCTCCGGGCTTAGAATTTACCTGTCCCCAGAACTCCGTTCGGTTTCCTTTCCTCTTGGCTACCCCCTCGCTAAATCCGCAAAATACTCCCCGCTACGTTTCTTTGGCCATGTTCTCGCGCTCGGTCAAGAGGGTTAATCCGGCAGCGAAATTCTCGGTTCTTTCTAGCCAAGAGAGACGACAGCGGTTTTGATAAACGTTAATTCGCGGTGTTATGTCACGAGGATCGGGAAAACTACGTCGAGGATATACAATTTTTGGCAGTTGCTAGGCTGAGCAGACTTCTGTGTTCGAATTTCAATGAAAAAATGAAATACTTTCTATAACATTCAATAAGAAAAATGTTTCCTACTAAGCCTTTATCTTTACCTTTTTAATTATATTCATAAAAATATGAATTTTAAATATCCGCGATCTAGTTATTAATGATCCAAAATGCATTTTTCATATGTCCTTTTTCTAGAGAATATATATTACGATTAAATTTAAGATCAATTTTGAAAATAAATAATCAAGTGATCAGATACTTTCGGACAATAGTATACCCTTTTACCTGTTCATATCACTCTCATAAAACTTTCTCTTAACTAGAGTACTGAGAATAATAGTAATCAGTCGATTGCCATTTTTCATAAAATAGCGTTCTGTGATTATTGTCATAAAAAATTTATTATATTTTTTGAATCATAAAAATGTATCGCGTCAAAGAGTGAACATTTCTAAACCGTAGTGTACATAAATGAAATATAACGAAAACTACATTATTGCTAACTAAAATCCATTACCTATTCCATTTAGTCAAATCAGTTTCCATATATTACATCATAAATCATCATAGTAGATCATCACCATCCTTTCAGAATCACCTCCAATCCCCAACTCCTACAACTTCCCTACACAACACCCACCCTCCCAACAAAAAAACTCAAATTTCCCCCAGTTAACTTTACGTACAGGTAAATGTGAAACTCCGCCACATTAGCAAAGCTTGGCGAACAGAGATCGACACGTTATTCAGAATCGAATAACGAGTATCAACGAGAGCAAATTGCGTGTCCGTCTCCTCTTTCTTTCTCCCAGCTTCTACCCTCTCTGTCAGGTAAAAAAAAAAAAAAAAGGAAAACAAAAGGGTGACGATTCCCGGTGGCTTTTCTTCCCCCATTCGGTGAGCAGGGGGTGGGCGCGATGCTAGGGGTTGAATCGTCGCGCTCACCGACGTTTTATACGTCGTCGGGTTTCATGCGACGGCGGTAATTTTTTTATTAGCTTGAAAACCACTCGACTCGTCGTCGTCGTCGTCGTCGTCAACGT